AATCCCTTCCGAGAACAGATGCATCCACAGTTTACGATGACTGTAAGCGGTAGGCTCAGGACAGTGCTCTAAGTTCAGGCAAGCCATGCCACTCAGTTATGCCACAATCCACAACTAGACACCACATTCCTTCAGAGGCTGACCTCTGCCTTTGTAAGTCTGTGTTTGGTGTCAAACCTCCTACCCCAGAAGACAGAAAGATTCAGAGTCTTGCTCCCCTCCCCTCCCCTGGCCACCCCAGCATTATAGCACAACTTAAAAGCTGAATCCATACTTGGTGTTTTTGATCCTTGCCACTGCAAGCTTGATTACTGCTGAGCCAAGCAATGTTCCCCGATGTACATTTTCCATGCACAATTTGAGTTAGCAATTGACTCTTTTTTAATTGCATTATTTTGTTTAAATCATTGGTCAGTTTCCCCCCACCCGCCCGACGCTCAATAAGAAAACCCCTCAGTGCTGCTTTTCTCTCACACCTGTCGGAGTCTCTGCCTACAATCATATGAATTCAAATCTGTTTCCATGATTCCTCCGCTCAGTGCCCTCATCCTGGAGTGCCCCCTCCATTATTACCATCTGATCACCATGTAGACCAGGCTGGCCTTGAACTCAGAGACCCACCTGTTCCTGCCTCCCAAGTTCTGGGATTAAAGGTATGTGCCACTGGCATATGTGTCTTGTATGCTTCATTTTTGTGTCTTGCTAGAAACTTCCTGCTGCCCTGTCCTTCCCTTCACTGTGTAGTGATATGGGTCCTCCCTCAGTCAGGACACGCCGGCCCTTATGTTCTGGAAGACTGTTATCTCTGTATTTGGTCTTTTCTTTTTGTGCTTTCTCGGGACTTCATCTTGGGGCTTCCTGGATGAAACCTTTGGTTTCTGCCTCATTGTCTTGCCCACATCTTTTTCCAACCTTCTCCTTAGAGGGTGTATATCCACACAGCTCCATTCCTGGGTTGGAGGGTTCGGACTTCTCCTAGGGATCAGGTGAACACACTTCAGTCCACAGCTAACTCCAGTAGCCATAGCTCTCCAGAGCTGCACAAGGCTTAGAGTGTCACTCAGTGGCTGGTGATGACAAGGATGTGGTCATTCCTGTGGCCTTTTCTGAGGATAACTTTCCAAAGACCTTGAGAAAACCTTCACGGTGACTGAGAAATTTAGTGCTAGGGATGTGTCCTAAGTATGAAGTTTGATATTATGTATGAATACCAGCCATTATAAATAGGTAACGAGTGGGTGAGGGTTTAACTCAGTGTGTAGTCTGTGTGTGGTGTATGTGAGGCCATGGATTCAGTCCTTAGCACCATAAATAAATAACTAGGAAGTAAGTAAAACAAAAAATAAGGTATGACCCACAGGTCAGACCTGATAGTGATTTCTGCAATAGGAGACATCCGTGCAGTTGACTATTACACAGCCATTATTAATCGTGGGAAGAGGTCCACTGTAAAGGAAAGAAGGTTCTAGAACATGGTGTTACTATGCATGCTGGGCTAGGCAGTTTCTCTAACCCCATATCCTGCCTTTATCCCTAACACACTGGGCTGTACTTCTCTTATGGTAGGAATCACCCCATCTCCTCTGAAATCCAGACTCCATGGTTGTAGCCTTGGAGTGTTGTATTTCTCTTTCAAGTACAAGCTCAGCAGGTGATTTCCATCCTCAGGGACAGCACCACTGTGTTCAGAATGGTCACTTGAGAGGCCTGCCTGGCACAGTCCCCTGCTGTGACAGTGCCCTGGTATCTTCTTTACTCTGGGTGACATGGACTCAGCCTTTTCCCAAGAATGGTTGGGAAAATCACTTCTTGGCTGAAGCCCACAAGGCACAGCTTGAACCCTAGGTGCCATGCACTCGCTGGCCAAGACAGCTGACACCCTATCCTCCCAGCCTCCTAGAGCATCCCATTGGCCACTGTTGGCAGAGGGCTGTTGGGCAGCAGGCTACCTGTCCTTTATGGATGAGGATGGGTACAGATCAAGTTGGAGTCCCTTGCAGGGTGACTGCAGGAGGGATGTTCACATAGCCTTATCCTCAGGCTCCCAAACATCTGAGGAGGGTGCCTACCCTGGTCCTCAAACCAATGGCTTCCAAGCCTTGTGGCCGTGGACTGAAGGACTGGTCCCTGGGTCAGCTGCCTTCCCTGCAAGCTTCCACCCCAACCCAGCTCTGCAGATATATAATAACCCACGAAGGAATATAGATATCTGTCCCTGCTTCCAGGTGGGGAGGATTCCAGGGTACTCTCAGTAGAACCTTTTGCATCCCGTCCCTTCTTTATGACCCTACCCTGTCTGTGTGACCATCATGGATAGCTACATCTCAGGGTCTGCTCTGGAGAAGTCAATCTTGCTATATTGCTGACCACTTTTTCTTGTCTTCCTTTCTCCTATTTTGTTTGTTTTTGTGATAGTCTCACTTTGTAGTCCAGCTGGCCTCATATATGTGACAATCCTCTCTTAGCCTCACAAGGCATGAGCCATCATGCCTGACTTTTTCTTTTTCTTTCTGTGTGATACTGGGGATGGACCACAGGCCCTCACATGCTAAGCATGTGTTCTGTCGCTGGGTTGTGCTGTCAGCCACCAGTTATGTTTCACCAAGGACATCACAGATGTGGGCAGATTTGTCCAAAGCCCTGAGCAGATGGGCACTTTATGGACATCTGTCCTCTGCTAATCAGTAGGTGCCTGCAGTGTGGACTTGGTGCCTGGGTAGCCAGAAAGGTACATTCTGGGCCATTCAGGAACCTAGTGCTGTCCTGGGCCAGTGCAGTGTGTGGACAGTTGGTCCAAATGACTGGTGTCTGTTGCTAGTGGCTAGAGAGACATGAGCTGGGTTGGCCTGGAGTGGTTGAGTGGGAACAGTTGTATTAAGGAGACATGTTGTGAACTCAGCCTCTATTAACACAGTCTCCTTAAGCCTGGTGAGGTCAGGATCACTTGATTTGGGGGCTGTCAGGGGAGAAGATGGCTGGGAGTGATGGTGGTGCATGGGCCCTGGGTGGTGCTGCCTGGCTCATACCTGACAATGGCATGCTTTTATCTCTGAAGTCTGTAAAGGAGGAAAGGGTCCTGGGTGGTGGGCGGAGGTGGGGGTGGTGTAAGGGACCATTGGAGGCAGCTGCTGTGGACTTCCAGTTATTTCACATCTAAAAAGAAAGATCCCGGGCTTCTGTGTCTTTAGAATACACGAGAGAGCCAAAGTTGTGTTGAAATCATTTGGTTTGACAACTGACGCCTCAGAATGATACCCGTGTCTGCCTCAAGGCATCTGCTGCAGTGGGCTGGGTCCAGTTCGGTATACTGGCCTGCTCTGCAGATAGGGGTCCAAGAACTTGCCTTGAGTCATGTAGTAATAGCAGAGCACAATGAGAGCAGGAGTCTGAATGTCCCCTTTTTATTTTTAGTGCCTTATACCATCTTGGGGCACGGGAGATGGTCCAGTCAGTACACTGCTTGCTACACAAGTGTGAGGACCTGAGTTCAATCCTAGCAACCATGTAAAAAGCCAGGTGTATGGTACATGCCTGCAATTGCAGCATTGCGGTGGTGGACCCCCAATGCTTACTGGCCAACCTGAATTGGTGAGCTCCAGGTTTAGAGAGAGAACTTGTCTCAAAAGAGAAGGTGGAACATCTAGAGAGAAAGCTCAGTGGTTAAGCGAATGCAGTGTTCTTCCAGAGGCCTCAAGTTCAGTTCCCGTCACTCACATGAAGTGGCTTACAACCTCCTCTAACTCCAGTTCTGGGAGATCTGATGCCCTCTTCTGGCCTCTGCAGGCACTGCATGCATGTGGCGCACAGATGTGTATGCAGGGAAGCATACATAACGTGAAACTAAAAACTAAATCTTTTAGAAAATTTTAGTTAAAATTTCTAGTTAAAAATTTAAATCTTAACAAAGTGGAGAACAGCAATCGAGGAAGACAGCCACCATCAACTCATTTCTGCACAGATGTGCACACCTGCATACATCCATGAATATGTGGACACACACATTCTCAGAATTTTATGTTACAATTTTAACCATCGTTTCTTATTTGGAGAAAGAACTTGGCTGTGTTGCCCAAGTTGACTCTGAATTTCTGGGCTCAAGTGATCCTCCTGCCTCGGGCTGCAAGGCACATACCATGGGCTTGCCAGCATGCCATCCAGTGGTGTTGGGCTTGCCACCACGTCGTCACTATCTACTCTAGAACTTTTCCATCTCCCCAAATGGAAACAAGGCCCCGTGAGGAGCATTAGCCATGAACTCCTGTCCCAGCCCCTGGGGCTTCACCCCCTTAATGTGGAACCAGGAGGTTTTGTCCTTTGGTGCCTGGCTACTTTTATTTTTGTGGTGTCAAGGTTGTGCCCTGGTATGGTGACATTAGTACATCTAACTTTTCTTGGCTAATTTTTCCTGTCTTTGTTTTGCCACGAGGCTGATCATGATTGACACAGGGTTATGTTGTTCTCTTGTGACCAGTGCAGTGTACAGGGGACATGTTTCTTTGCTCCTGATTCTACCGTATGTGGTCTGCTAATTTTAATGTCCCTTCCCCGTGCACCTGATGCTCTTCTGGGGTGTCCCACTGAGTGGGCTGACTAAACTTCTGGGACAACTCCAATAGCAGCAGTGGGGACCTCATTCTCCCCAAAGTGTGCCCTTAACAGTCTCACAGCCTTCAGCATTCTACAGGCCATGCTTCCTCCCCTTCCTTACCTCCTTCTGAAGGCTCCCCAGGGTCACTCTGGACTCTAACTCTCTATATCGTACCCCACCACAGTCTTAGAATCCAGCCATGGGAAACAGGATAGGAGTGCCTTTGAACATGACCATCAGTGCAGTCAATTTACAGCCTTGCTGTGACCCCTCTGCCTCTGTGCCCAGGTAAACCCACCTGGACTTCACTTTCATGGAAAGGTCCTGAGGGGCGGGTGGATGTGGATTTTCCACACACCTGTCACCCACATCCTGCCTCAGGAGTTCACTCCTCTCTCCTTTGTCTTCCCAGGGACGTACCAGGGCCAGTGGGTTGGTGGCATGCGCCAGGGCTACGGTGTGCGGCAGAGTGTCCCCTATGGCATGGCCGCAGTCATCCGCTCGCCCCTGAGGACGTCCATCAACTCTCTACGCAGCGAGCACACCAATGGTGCAGCGCTGCACCCGGACACCTCCCCGGCAGTGGCCGGCAGCCCGGCTGTGTCCCGCGGTGGTTTCGTGCTGGTGGCCCACAGTGACTCAGAGATCCTAAAGAGCAAGAAGAAGGGGCTGTTCCGGCGCTCCCTGCTGAGTGGCCTGAAGCTTCGCAAGTCTGAGTCAAAGAGCAGCCTGGCCAGCCAGCGAAGCAAACAGAGCTCCTTCCGCAGTGAGGCGGGCATGAGCACTGTGAGCTCCACGGCCAGTGACATCCACTCCACCATCAGCCTGGGTGAGGCCGAGGCTGAGCTGGCCGTCATCGAAGATGACATCGACGCCACCACCACTGAGACCTATGTGGGCGAGTGGAAGAATGATAAACGCTCGGGCTTCGGTGTGAGCCAGCGCTCCGACGGGCTCAAGTACGAGGGCGAGTGGGTTAGCAACCGGCGGCATGGCTATGGGTGCATGACCTTCCCCGATGGCACCAAGGAGGAGGGGAAATACAAGCAGAATGTGCTTGTGAGTGGCAAGCGCAAGAACCTCATCCCACTTCGTGCCAGTAAGATCCGGGAGAAAGTGGACCGGGCCGTGGAGGCAGCTGAGCGGGCAGCCACCATCGCAAAGCAGAAGGCCGAGATTGCTGCATCCAGGTAGGGTTGGGCAGAGTGTCCTGCAGGACCTGTCTTTGGTTACCCAGAAGGCATGCGTGACCTGCTCTGCCCATCTGTGCAGTGCCCAGTGTGAGGCCTGCACAGTGTTCCTCTATCTGTCCCCCACAGGGTCATGGTGTTCATGGAGGTCCTCAGAAGGTGATTGTGGGCAGAGGTGTGGCAAGGAAACGGTCTGAGGGGCCTTGGGGACCTGCAGCTCCCTCTTAAACAGGGCAGGAGGGAGTCAGGAGGCTGCAGAGGAGGAGAGAGGCCTTTTGCCTTTTATGTGTGTCTAAGTGTGTTCTTGTACACCACTGATGGACAGAGAAGGCTGCTGTTCTGTTGGTATGATGTGTAGGATACCTGCTGGCTGGTGCCCTCTGCCTCAGGGACACAGGACGCTACTTCAGTGGCCCAGATCTGTGACTGAGGCCCCCACATGGGCCCCAAGAGACATGTCTTCCTGAACAGAACAGCTGTGGGTGGCAGTGAGAGGCTCACATGAGGCTTGGTATTTGAGTCAATAGCTGCTGCCCCACTCAGGCTATAGGGCATTAAACTTGGGGTTCAGAGGGACCACCAGGCCCCAGAGAACAGTTATGGAGGTGGCTGTGGGTGAGCATTGTGTGTGTGTGTGTGTGTGTGTGTGTGTGTGTGTGTGTGTGTGTGTGTGTGTGTGTGTGTGTGTGTTTTTCATCTGGGTGTCATTGCAGTGTGCAAGCCTCAGGGCTAGAGAAGGTGCCCCAGGCTGGCTTCCTGGAAACCATATCGGCAAGTGTGGGAGCCTGAGCTGGTCTCAGCCAGTCTGTGAGAGTCAGGAGACTGCAGACAGGGGAGCCACAGGAGCCACATTCTCAGGCTTGAGGATGCTGCCCTGTAGGAAGCCCAGAACTTGCCTGTGTGTGCCTCTGGCTTTGCTGTGATGCACCTACTAGATAGTTTTATGGAAGTGTTGTACAGGATTATCCTCTGAGCCAATCTGCTGCCATCTTTACCAGACCACCTGTGCTCGCTTGCAAAAGATGGTCACAGCTTGGCTTATTGGTTGTTGACTTTCCCTTAGAAGTGGGGTGGGGAGGGACTCTCACCTGAGTAGCCAATTCCTACATCCCAAATAGCAACATGCCCTTCTGCCCTACTTGGTCTCTAGGTCTTGGGGGAGGGACTAGAGTGTATAGGTGGGGAATGATTAGGGGCAGAGGCTCCATCTATGTGCCTATGGGGAAGCCAATACCTGTGCTGGGTAAAGACTTCCCAGAGTGACTTTTAGGGAGAGCACCCACATTCCTATCAGTAACCCCTGCCCAGGCTCTGTAAGGAAGCCCCATAACTTGTTGGTTCCCCCAGGTGAACTTTAGTGGTTTGTGCTTTGGTTTGTTTTGGGGACCTTTGGAGAAGAAGCAGTTGTGGTTTGTCTTCCCCCTCAGCTACAGAAGGTATTAGAAGCTGAAAGTCTCTATCATTCCTTCTAGAGAGCCCAGGGCTGGGGAGATACTGCATAGGCCTTGGGCTCCTGGGCTAGAGGCCTCAGGAGGATATGTGTCTGTAGACGGAAGTTTCTGTCCCGCCCAGTCCCACAGCCATTAGTCCCAAATAAACACACAGAGGCTCATATTAATTATAAACTGTTTGGCCAATGGCTCAGGCTTCTTATTGGCTAACTCTCTCTTAACCTATTTCTATTAATCTGTGTATCTCCATGTAGTCTTGGCTTACCGGTGATGCCGGGGCCTTTTGTTTCCTCAGCTGCTACATGGCGTCTCTCTCACTCCGCCTACTACCTTTCTCTCTCCCTGTTTGGATTTCCCACCTGGCTAAATCCTGCCTGTCCATTGGCCAAAACAGCTTTATTCATCAACCAATAAGAGAAACATATATTCACAGCATACAGAAGGAATCCCCCATCATGTGTCCAATCTGGAAGATTCTCAGGCGGTGATGGCCAGCTGAACATCCAGCTCCCACTCAGCCTTTAGACTGTAGTGACTGAAGATTTGCTCACTGAGTGACCTTTTATCACAGTACAGAGCACAGGTGTCAGCTGGTGGGACCCCTGTCCCCTGTAGTGTCTGTAGTCTAGAGGGAAACACAATAGCTCTAAGAGGCTGAAAGAAAGGCAGAATTTCTACCTCAGTACTGAGGTTTGACACTGCCCTGTCTTGGCCTCTCACACTGCCCCCACCACCACCTGGAACTGACAGTGAGTGATAAGTATGGCTGCTCACCTGGGATTTTAGGAACCTGCTGAGCTCTAGGTGTTTTTACCATTGTAAACATAAACATAGCCCTTACCTCATATAGAAAGGTGGGAAGTAACAGCCAGAAGACCACAGTCCTGGCTGAAAGCCGATATGTGCACCACAGCACCCCAAGCATCCAATGAACTAGCTTCCAGTTGCTTTGTTTGACCATCTCCCTTGTATTTTGGGTCCCTGGTGAATGGAAGACAGTTCAGAGGCTGGGCTTACTTGCCAGAGCCCCGTCAGGCCCCAGATTAATTATTTTTGTTTTTGAGACAAGGTCTCTCTGTATAGCACTGGATATCCTGGAGCTCACTATGTAAACCAGCCTGACTCTAGATGCAGAGCTATCTGCCTACCTTTGCCTTCTGAGTGCTGGGATTAAAGGCATGTACTACCATGCTTGGCTTCAGATGAGTTCTTGAATGAGGAGGGTTTGAGAAGCAGAAGCAAGCATCACAGGAGATGTTCCACAGGCCTGATGTCTTGTGAAACCCACCACCAGATCCCCAATGTCAGGACTGAGAACATGGGATCCAAGGTAGTTTCTATATAGAAGCCATGGGACACTGGGAAAAGTTGGTCTCCCTTTAACAGGGAGGTGGAGTTGGATCTAAGCACATGCCGGGAGACTCCCTGTGGTCGGTGTTTCTCTCTGAGCCTCATCTATGGCAGAGAAGCCCTGTTATTCCCAGCACCTGCCCCTGGCCTGCCTTCCCCAAAGTGTGAGAGTGCCGAGCTAGACAAGGGTTGGCACAGAGTGGCCAGGAAAGCCTAGAGGCAGGGTAGGAGGACAAGAAGGACTCAAAGAAGTTGGGATCAACCTGGGAGTGAGCGAGCTCTGAGTGACTCACCAGTGCCTTGGCCAGCCAGTATGGTGACTCTATCATGTTTTCCCTAATGGGCAAAGGGACAAGTAGAGGGAGGAGACAGGGGAAAGATGTGTATCTTTGTGCACCTGGACACCAACAGACCCACACACACACTCATGGGCTGCAACCTAGTCTATTGAAACCCTGAAGCACATCCATGTGCCTCACTCCCACTGGCTGCCTGACCCCAGGCTCGTTTTCTGCATAGCTAAGGTCACAGAGAGGACCTGGTCCTGTTACCTTGAGATGAAATGGCCCTGATTCTGCTTTTGCACAGCTGGGATTTCAGAGTCTGTTGACAAAGAGGCCAGTTGATGGAAGTGTCCCATAGTGTGTAGCATATACAGGTATGACAATTCCCTTGGTGCCCTCCGGGGCAGTCTTAGGTTACTGGCATGTGGCAGGTTGTGGGGTCTGGTCTGGATGTGGCTGGAAGGAAAGACAGGACGCATCAGAGCCTTACTAGCCATCAGGAACCAGCTACTTAGACTCTGGCCTTGAAAACAGCAGGGAGCTATGTGCAGTCTACTGCCACTGCCAAATGGCCAGGGCTGGCTGCTCTATAAGCAAGGGTTCCCACTAGAGCAACCTGTGGGTCATGACACCTTTTGGGTCACATATCAGATGTGTGGCCTATCAAATACAACACGAGGAACTGTATTAAAGGGTCTCAATATTAGGAAGGTTGAGAACCACTGCACCAGAGGATGGTGGAGCCCCTGATGCGGGGCCCGGTCTCTGGTTGATTCCATCATTATTGCTGGTGTCACACCAGCTCTGCTCTGAATGCTGACTCCTGGTGCCCAGAGTTTCCTGTTGGAGGTGGGGAGGCAGTGCAGTGTCATCTAGAAGATAAGCCACCACCCCAGGCTGTAAGCCTGAGTCTGTGTCTCCTGCGGCTTCCTAATGGGCTTAGAAGATGGGGGACCAAGGTAGGCAACCAGAGGCCAGTGTTGAAAGGGTAGAGATGGCAAGTAACTGACAGAGCCTTGGGTCCAGCGAGAGCCACAAGGAGCGGCGCTGCCACTGAAGAGCGTTCATCCCTGGAGGGCATCACTGTTACCATCAAGATGACAGAGACTCATGGGGTCATGTTGCTTCATTCTCAGCTTGCAGGTCAAGCTCATCCACTAGAGTATAGTGAGAAACTGCCCATGGCATCCTATCAGACGTTCCAGGACATCTTGGCGATGACCCCAGCAAGGCCAGGGACAGGCACAAGGAGAGTATCTCTGGGGTGCCGTAACTCTTGGGGAACCCCTTCTTGGTGGAGGCAAGGGAACACTGGCACCTTGAAGTACCCTTTAAACACAGCACGGGGGCTGGAGAGACGCTCAGTGGCTAACAGGACTCGAGTTCAGTTCCCAGCACCCACATCAGGCTGCTCACAACCACTTATAACTCCAGCTCCAGGGGAGCAGACGCCCTCCTCTGGTCTCCATGGGCACTGCACACACCCATGTACATTAACACATGGACACAGACACGTGAGAAATAAAACGTGAATCTTTAAATGCAGCACTGCTCCTGTGGTGGGAAGGAGGGGGTGTGCACCTGGGAAGAGGCCTACTCAGGAGAGTGCCCGACCCCTGCTGTTCCTCATTAAGGTGGTCAAATAGCCCTTGTTAAGGAATGAGAAGTCACTGTGCAATATCTTGAGCTAACCCTGTCCCCTCAGTACTGCAAATACCATGGTCCTTCTCATCTATGCATTTTCCTGTGGTCAGCTGTGGTCTGTCTGAAGGTATCTTAAGGAAAATTCCATAAGTAAATAATTCATGAGTTTTTCCCGCTTTGGGACAGCCTCTCCCCATGTACCCGTAGGTCTTTCATTGTGCCCCGTTCTGAGGTGTGCGATGGTGTCTGGCACCATCCCACTCTATCCTTC